TAAGAGTTTGTCACTGAAACACTGAAGATTAATAAAGCAAACTTTTCTGACCCTCTATGTCAAAATCGATGAAGAAATTATTAACTAGATTCATGTTTGCTTTGAATGTCACTGATCAAGGTTGACATTGACACACAATGTCCTGTGTCACACAGACACTGATACACACAGATACCACCAACCTTCCTTATTGTGTAATAACTGTTTTTGATTCTTAAAATTAGAGAAAATATACATAAAAAAATTAATTAGGTGTCAATGTAACTCACAAACCCCCAGTTACTCTAGTGATATCTATTACATTATTTGATATTGTCTCCATGGTCAATTATAGTGAGCCTGTTTTCCTTCTTCAGTGATGGAGAAGACAATCCTCAGACTGTTTCTTTAAGAGGCTGTGGTAACAATGCTATTAATAGCTATGATATTAAGAACACCTCATTGCATTACAAGTTCCTCCATCTATGGCAGTTCTGGTTTTCTTCACTGTTAGAAAAAAGTAAGCTGTATCTTTCATAATTGCGTTTTACAATGGTGAAAGATATACAGCTAACTTTTATGTTTACTTATTTCAATGTACGAGTGAATATGATTAAAATACATTGTATAGATATATGAAATTCTCAAAGAATTAACAAAAAATAAATAAGCCTTTCTCGTTACAGGGGGAAATTATGTACAAGTGATATTATGTAATTGTTAGTTGTATTGGTCATCATGTACATTAAGGACTTATAAGGTCTACATTATCGGGGACATATGTCCAAATGTTCAATATAAAGAAGCATTGTAATATACAATTAAACTTGGTCATGGTTGTGGACACATGTATTTATAGCTCTATCACTGGAGTTCTCTCGGTGTCTCTTGATGTATAAGACAAACCATATAATGTATTTCTATGTGAACTAATTGTAGTTTATTTCTTGGGGGGCAGGGTGGAGAAACTTACAGAGACTAACGCCTGGTACCCAGCACCCAGCTCTGCCTGGGGCCACAACTTTGTTCCAGATCACTTCTGAGCCTGCCCACAGTCTCCATTAAGTTTCACCCAGGTATCTCAGGCCTGTAGTCTCACCCCAGGTCAGTAAATGCCCCCTCTCACACTGCCGTGCCTTTTCCATGGCCACAGCTGCACTATCCTGGCAGCTCGTGGCTCTCTTACAAGATGGTGCAGAAAACCCCTCCTTCCTTGGATAGCACTTCGCAGTCAATTCTCCTCAGCAGGGCCTGTCCCTCAGAGGTAACAGGCTGTTTGGTACACATTCCAGCCCTTTCCTCCACCCTTACAATCTTTCTGCCAATTTTCCACTAAGCTCCCTGTGCCTTGGCAGGGGTGACAGGTGTAGGGTGATCTCTATTATATCATGGTGAGATAGTGAATTCTTGGGCCTCCCCATTATTTGTCTTTAAGCCCTGGCCGTTGATCTATCTCAGTGGTGTTTCCTCTACTATAAAGAAAAATGGAAGGAAGTAGACACATCTAAACAAACATGAATGTAAATACAAATGTCTAGAAGATATCCCAATAGGTGTACTATATTCGCTAAACAGTATACTTGTGATGGCTTCCCCATTAGAGCCTGTAGCCTTTCTCGACACAAGATGTTGGCCTGGTCTACAGCACCAGATGTGTATTCCACCCCTAGCAATGGGCCTTATCCAATTAGAAATTATCGCTTTTACGTATGTTGGTCAGGCCATTATTGCACTTGTAAGCATTGCTTGGCATGTCCATAGTTTGCAGCATGCAGGGTACACGATAGAGTAGAATCATAGGGAATCCTTTCTTTCCCAACCGTCTGCATAGGGACTTTTGGCAACATGAACATCATCCATCCAGTGGCATGGAGTTTTTTTGGGTTTTTTTGTGGTTGTTGTTGTTGTTTTTTGTTTAGTCTCAGCTCCATCTTTTCTTCTTCTCCCATGCTCACAACACAGTGTCTTCAGCAACATGGCCTTATCTACCTTTCCAGTGTACAACTGACATTAATGCCAATGGCTTTGGTGAATTTGAGGACCTCTAGGATCTCGGTGACCATCAGCTCATAGTGGGGCAACCCACCCCGATACTGTAGATTTTCTTAACAGTTGTATAGTTTGGGAGTCTCTGCCTTTCTTACCCAACCACAAAACTCCCAAAAATCTTACAGCTATAACTGGCCCTTGCTTCTTCAGGTATCTTTCAAATGAGTTTCACATCAGCAAAACACACCAAGGAAAGCTAACATTATATATTAAATCAATCATAGACAAGGTCTCACACAGCATGGAAAGTTTTTTTTTTCCATTCATATTAACTGTTTTCTCCATAGATCTTTGTTAGGTACCATAGCATGGGTACAAGGCATTAATCTGGTTAGTTCTTTATCATCTTTAGTTATCCCTTTAGAGTCATTTCACACTTGGGGGATTTAATATGGAGTCCCTTCATATTCTTTTGTTCTTGAAACACTTACAGGTGTTGATTGCAGTTGCTTGACCTTGCACTCATTTAAGGAGACAGGGTGTTTTTCCTGTCCCTGCTGCACTTGTTGGTTCACTGAGTCAGGGAGACCCTGAGTCTGCCTCCTGACTATAGCCATATCTGTCATTTCCCCATTGACCACATCAGGTTGCTGGGGGAGAACTTGGTGGGAAAACCTGCTTCTACCCCTAGTATAGCTTCTATCAGAAGAGAAATGCATCTTATTTAATCCTTGGTGACTCTTAACCACCTCTGGACAGTTTTTACCCTTTGGATGTCTTTTGTAAACTGTTCTGGTTGAAAGCCTTCCAGAAATGCCTTAGTACCAAATTTGGTTTTCTATCCATTTTTTCCTCTGGGAATTTTGTCTTGACATAAGTTTTACCACATTTATCTTCAAGTAACCCAAGTCGACTTTTCTTCAGTCTGGTCTTTTTTATATCTCATAGGGTGTTCTTTTATTTTGCAGACATGTTTTATCTGCTGCTTGGAATCATTTAGATTTGCCAAAGCCTGTCTCACTTTACAAAGATCCTGTCCCATTAAAGGGCTTAGTAAAACAAGTAAAGCCCCATACCATTCTCAAGGTCCCAGTTGAATTAAGCGTTCTTTCATATCTCTGGTGAACACAACCTTATCTGGCTCAGTGAACTGGACATCATATATTGCTTTTCTCATACCTAGTTCTCTCATTTATGCCTGCCCCTCCTTTATAGTCCTCCAGCCACTGCTAATCATGTTAGTCTTCCTTGGTGACAACCATGTATCTTTAATGCTTTCAACCAGACATCCCATTAAGGACTGCTCACCCCTGCACTGGCCTAGGTGGAACAGCCAATATCGCAAGGACAGATGGGTGGTTATATAACTCAGCTGTGAAGCTTCTGAAGGACTTAGACTGAAGTTATTTGCTCCCATGTCCCATACTCTCACAAGCCATGTGGCTAGGGGTTCCCTGGATCGCTTGCTTGTAAGTATTTCCTAGTTTTAGCAGTTCTAGTATGGAATATTTCCTAGCTACAACACTGTTAGGTGGATTTTTTTGCCTTTTGTAAAACAATGGTTTAATTTGAGGAGCAGCTTTAGCTACTTTTATTTTTAGGTCATTTTCTTCTTTACTATTGTCTTTTCCTAGGAGTCTTTGAGCCTTACACAAGTTAAAGTGTCCGTTTTCTTTATTTGTCTCTCAAGCTCTGCAACTGTATCTGGAAGGACCTTCCTAGCCTTTTCAGCTTCCTCTGTTTGGGGCACATCTTTTATTATGCAAAGTGGCCACGCCCCCTCTCTGGGTTCTCCATTTGTGTCCTGAGCCAGTAAAAGACTTTCTAGCCTCTGGACAACCTTTAACAAATCTTCACATATCCACAACATACCCCCACATTTACAATACAGCTGTGGCTCATGCTTCTTTTTAGTTACAGATTAATTACACGTGTCTATCTCTAACCCCATTAAGTGTATGGGGTTTGTCTGCCCTCTCCTCTGGGTTCCTGGCAGCTGCTCCTGGATTTGGGAATCAGCCCAGCTGACCCCACACACAGCAGGAACAGCACTGCTTTCCCAGACCCACATCCCCAAGGCTGTGGTTCATTTATCAGGGCCAGACTACGCAAGTTTTGTCACCCAAGTTCTCTTGGGGTCTCTTGCGCTATCAGACAAACCATACAGTGTATTTCTATGTGAATTTATTATAGTTTATATCTTGTGGTGGGAGTGGAGAAACTTACAGAGACTAACGCCTGGCACCCAGCACCCAGCACCCAGTTCTGTGCACAAGGCCGCCACCATTCCAGATCGATTCTGCTCCACAGTCTCCATTAACTTTTGTCCATGCATCTTGGGCCCTCAGTCTCCCCACAGGTCAGTAAATGCCCCTTCTTGTGATGCGGGTGAGACACCGGGTCATTGTTTTCTCCAAGCCAGCCACCAAGTGTTCTCCAGGTCTGCCACCAGGCATTCCTGGCAGCTTGTGGTTTCCATCACAAGATGGTGCAGGAATGCCCTCCTCCCCTGGCTAGCTCTTCACAGTCAATTCTCCTCAGCAGGCCCCACCCCTTGGAGGAAACAAGCTGTTTGGTACACAAGCACTTTGAAGAAAACAACAGAAGAATTGTGAGGTTGAGGCCAGACTGAGTGAGACTACAGTGACACTTTGTCTAAAAAGAACCACAATTTATAGAATCTCCAAAATGACCTTAAATTCATAAATTCCCACTGGTCCCAAATTGAGATATGAAATTTTGAGGAATTCTCTTATATCTCTTCCTTAACTTCAGTATTTTTCAAGAGTAGCCACACATTGAAGACGTATTTTTCTTTTCTCTTTATTAGCAATATTTGTTCACCAACCAATAATGCTAACACAGAAATGTACACCAAGAACAGGGGTAAACAACATTTTTTATCTCTGTCATCAGAACGAAGTCTGCTTGGAAGCAGACTAAGTAGTGTCCATTTGATTAACCAATGATGCCTCAGGCTGGCACCTACTGATTCATTGATTACATTATAAAAAGGTTTTCCTGCAAGGTCACAATCATATCAGTAAGAAGAGAGGGCTCTGATGGATCTAACTATAGTCCTGGTGCTTGGCCTCTCCTGTCTGCTTCTCCTCTCTCTCTGGAGACAGAATCCTGGGAGAGGGACGCTCCCTCCTGGCCCTATTCCTCTTCCAATTATTGGAAATTTCCTACAGATAGATGTAAAGGATATCCGCCAATCCTTAACCAATGTAAGTGTGTTTTCTGCTCTTCCAATACTCTGTAAAGGGAGATAAAGTATCCTTCTTCAAAATGAAAATCTAGTAACGGATTTGATGTTGTAATAAGTTAGCACTAGCAATAGTGCCCTAAAGCTTGTAATTGTTTACCTCAGTTACTTACTTTGTGAAAAAGTGTTAAACAGTCTTGCTGAATGGTTTGATGTGATGATTCACTGCACTCTATGTATCAAATGCCTAGACTATTTCATGGCACATTGTAGACTATCCAGATTCACAATAACCATAATATGATATAGATTTACATCAATTTCAGAAATATTTGAAAGTGAGTTTGCCTAAATGTAAACATTAAGACACAATGATAACATCAGTAATAATGAACACAGAACAGTGCATAGGCTGATGCTTTCTTGCTAGAATTTTCATTTTCTTTACTATTTCCAGTTCTCAAAATTCTACGGCCCTGTGTTCACTCTCTATTTGGGCCCACGGCCCACTGTGGTGTTGTATGGCTATGAAGCAGTGAAGGAAGCTCTGATTGATCATGCAGAGGATTTTGCTGCAAGAGGAAGTCTCCCAGTGGCTTCAAAAGCTAGGAAAGGCTTTGGTAAGTGTGTATGTTCAGGTGTGTGTGCTGCACAATGTTCATAATGAGGCACAAGATGGGAAAAGAGACAAGATTTGCTCCTCAGGCACAGGTTGGGCCTCTCTATGGTTGCCACCTGTCAAATCTCTCTTCTCTTCCTGAGATGTAATTTCTAGTGTCTACTACTATTTCTTTAGGAATTATCTTTAGTAATGGGAACAGATGGAAAGAGACAAGGCGTTTCACACTCATGACACTACGGAACTTGGGGATGGGGAAAAGGAACATTGAGGATCGTGTTCAAGAGGAAGCCCAGTGCCTTGTGGAGGAACTGAGGAAAACCAATGGTAAATACAACTTTATAATCTAACTTTTACATTCTTATTTTATTCCAAACCCTTTTCCTTTTTGTATATCAGAAATTGTGAATATAATTTTCATAGTAATTCTCTTATGAATTATGAACTATGAATTCCCCTTAGCACAAATATAGTTTACTTCTTATCACTTCACTAGAGACTAACTACTACTGATTGAAAATGTTGGCAATAACATGATCCATACTTATGGGGGCCAAATGAGATGATATGTGTTTTCATTTCATTGAACTGCATTGGTCTGCCCGGCTTCACTGACATGTCTAGGGTTTCCACCAGGCCCGTGATTACAGTTCTGGGTAACAATGAAGGTACAATGTATGGTTTTCATTTCTCAGCCTAGTGCATACACTTTTCATCTTTTATTCTCTCTCTTTCTCTCTTTCTCTGTTTCTGTCTCTCTCTCTTTCTCATATTAATATTTATAATTATTTCTTCTTACACAGCTCCTAATGGTTTGATTTATATGTTTCACTAAAACACATGACAGCATAATTGTGCATGATGCCCAAACAGAAATTAATGAAATGATTCATTTCACTAAAGTTGAACTATTTTTTAATTATTTATTTTTATATTATGTGTATGAGTGTATTGCCTGCCTGTATGTAAGTGCACCTGTGTCCTGTATGCATGTAAGTGCACCTGGGGATGGAGAGATGGCTAAGCATTAAGAACACTGGTTGTTCTTGCAGAAGACCCAGGTTCGAATCCCAGCACCCACATGACAACTAACAACTGTCCTTAACTCCAGTCCCAGGGGATCCGACACCTCTTCTGACCTCCACGAGCATTGCACGACTTGGGTGCACTTACCTACATGCAGGCAATACAAGCATACACAAAAAAGGAAAGAAAAGAAAAAGAAAACATTTTCTGATACCATAGTGTTGGAATTTCATGTTCTGAAAGCCTGGCATAGCAGCAGCAAGCTCAAGGAATTTCCTTTAATTATAGTCTTTCACAAAACCTTTAGAAAATTGTTAATTCAACTGACCCATATTTGTGCTCTACAGATGTAGTTTTGGGTGGTCCTTGCATATAAAGTGTATTGATCACTGGATCATAGAAATTTCCCTTTAGAATGAACATCAAAATAAATTTTCCTGAGTGCTGTACAGATGGCCTATTTATCAAGAGAACATGCTGTCCCTGCAGAGGCCTAGATATTGGTTCACAGAACCCTATCAGGATGCTCCAAATTAGATACCCTCTTCTGGTATCCATTGGCAACCACACATGTGTGGTATATGCACACACAGACACACAAACTTAAAAGAAATATTAAAAATAAATCTAAAAAAGAAAATTTCCTCATGATTTTTTTATTCTGTAAAATCATACACAAGACCAATGTGTCAGAAATTCAAAATATCATTACTATGTATCATTTGAATGATAACTATATAGGAAAATATTTTCTAATCCTTAATTTTCAGTATTGTACATCTGTAAGTGTGGAGTTTTACTGGACAAATTCATCATTTGCTTCTTTTTTAAATAATTGTTGCTGTTGTGTTCATTGGATATACTGATGAGTTTCATAAAGACATTTTCCCAGTAGTATGTCATGTGTCTCTACTATGCTCACCCACAATCTTCTCCTTTCTTGCATCCCTTCCTTCTCCTGGGCTTGCATTTGTTTATATTCATGACTAATTTTCATAAGAATATTTACTCCCAGAGGAACAAAATCTGTTGCTTTAAATGTTGACATGATTTTTAATGGGCTCCATTTTTCACTTACTTCCTGTCCTTTCCTCAACATGGGATTTAAGTGAAAATACAATATTTTCATTTTATTTATCCATGTAAACACACTCCCTGTGTACTCACTGTCCTTGATAGTGCACATCCTCTCATATAATACAGGACAACTCTGCTTTCACACTTCTTCCTTCTAATACTTGAACTCACCTCAGTATTGTTATTTTTCCCCTTATTTGAATCAGTACATGATTCTTTTGTACACACAGCTTCCAAGTCTCCTCTATTCTTTCTATTTCTACATCAGCTCTATAAAGTCTACAGGCATTGCAGATAGAATTAATTCTGCTTGAGCACTAGAACTTTCAGATTTATCAAAATCATTTTCTTCCAGTAAGGGAGAGAACTATGGTTAAAAGTGTGTAAGTCTCTATAAAGCCATGATCTGCTATTATTTAACTAGTGAGATTGAAGGTAAATATTATTATTGATTCCAGGCATGCTTACTATTTGGCTGTTAGAGAAATTTGTAGGGAAGATATTGCTTAATGCTTCTTAAATTGTTAAGAACAACGTAAAGAACAAAATGTCTTCTATGAAAACCTAATGGTATTTTAAAATTGTTTCCAACTCTTCAGGCTTGCCCTGTGATCCCACCTACATCCTGAGCTGTGCTCCTTGCAATGTGATCTGCTCCATTGTTTTCCAGAATCGCTTTGATTATAATGATCAGGAATTTCTTCACTTGATGGAAAAATTCAATGATAATATCCGTATTCTGAGCTCCCCATGGATACAGGTGAAATCAAGATTTTTTTTTTTTCAGAACATACTTAGAGTCATTTTTTCTCAGAAGATCAAATTCTGCATGGATCAAGTAATGAGGGGGATGGGCTCCACAGTTCTGCCTGTGGTATTATGGTAAAAATATCTGCAAGGATGTTTAAGTTCTTTGCTGTACACAGAGGAAATCATAATGACAAACACGATGTTGATTGAGGCCTGTTAGCTCCGTATCCATTGGCTTTCCCATTGACTTCCACAGAGTAGTTTGTATAAAATTATTTATTCCCTTCTAGATGGAAAGGCAGTCATTCATAGAACATTCTTAAACTATCCAGAACTTCATGTACTGCCAACAATTAAGCCTGTCTTCATCATATTACTTGACACAAATTGTTTAGCGAGAAAAAGGAGAAAGACTGAGGCAATGGAACCCTCCAGGACGTAATGTGTAGCTTAGATCCCCCTTTTTATCTTTTGTCCTTCTCTCTCCTTTATATCTTTTTTTTGTCTTTTTTGGACAGGGTCTCCCAGTAGCCCCAGCTGGCCTGGAACTTACTATGTAGACCAGGCTCGCCTCAAACTCACAGAGATCTGCCTGCCTCTGCCTCCCAAGTGCTGGGGTTAAAGGCGTGTGCCACCACGCCCGGCTTCTTTATATCTTTTATCTTTTCAAAATATTTCTATTAATTCTTTGAGAATTACATGCACTGTGTTTTGATCATATGCACCCCCAACTCTTCACCTTAACTCCTCTCATTTCCTCCCTATACTTAACTTTATTTTCTCTTTTTAAAAATATCTAATAACCCCTTTACTTCACCAGCTTCTCCAGGCTCTGGGACCATAATGGAGGGTGGAGGTTGTAATTATAAGAGCCAGATGTTGAGGAAGGCCTGAGCAAAATAGTGTCTTCTCGATACTGTACTGAAGACTCAATGGCTATGGTTACCTGCATATAACTTACATAAAGATCAAGTCAGTCGACATTCTAGAATGCAGCAGGTTCAATATCTCCTTCCCCTGACAGGAGTTATAGAAAGTTGATGGATTCACTGGGATGGAATGGATAGATACCTTTTTTGTTTCTTTTTCCAGCTTTAGCCTGAGGTGTCCTACCACACACTGTATAGGGCAGGGTGGCCTTGAACTCACAGAGATCCACCTGCCTCTGCATCCTGAGTGCTGGGTTTAAGGCATGTGCCAGCAGGCCCTGCTCAAGAGACAGTTTCTTTAAGGCTGTGGATCCTGGTTGGTTGGCAACACTCAGGTAGATGGTGCCACACCCAGAAATATATGCATAGAATAAATTGGAGTCAATGGGTTATTAAATGATTTCAGGTTTTTTATGTGTCACCTAGGGAATTAGTTGAGAAGGTAAAAGGTAAAAATGACAAATGGAATGTATGGTTTGTGGACTATAAATATCCTCACAGAACTTTCCTGTGCAGAATTGGCATCTTCTGCACTCTGTATAAATAATGATTGTGTGATCATAGAGAAGTTGCTAATGGCTGAGGTATGCCCTTGATTTCAAGGTATATTTGAGCCACACCCATTTCTAAATACCCCTCCATGATAGAGACTCATTTATAGGAATATAGTTTCTAGGAGTTAACTTTGTGCTCTAAATCAGGTTACCAACTATATTAGTTTCTGTCATCAGAAAAATATGAGTAACAGTAATTTATATCATAAACTATTTCAAACTAGTGATGAACATCAGATATAAGCATATTGTGAGTTGACACAAATGTACTAAAATGTTTCATGGGGGCTGGAGAGATGGTTCAGCAGTTAAGAACACTGGTTGCTCTTACAGACAGACCTGGGTTCGAATCCCAGCACCCACATGGCAGATAACAACTGTCCATAACTCCAGATCCAGGGGATCTAGTAGCCTCTTCTGTCCTTCGCGGGCATTGCATGACATGGGTGCACTTACCTACACTCAGGCAATACACACATACACATCAAATAAAAATAATAAATAAAATATAAAAAATGTTTCATGGGTGTGGAAAATTGCTTATAAACTTTGATCATCTGGGTAGGATATTCTTCCTCAGCTCTCTCCTCTCTCACAGATTTATGACATGTGTAAATAAAAATCTGGTCATGTAGACTTCTTTCATTCATATCTAGAGTTATAAATCCAAATTAGTCTTGCTTTGTGTTATAAATATACATGAACTTCTTCATTAAATTTTGCTCAGTTAATAAATAATGGGTCTTTTGTCTTGTAGGTCTGTAATAACTTCCCTGTTCTCATTGACTATTGTCCAGGAAGTCACAAAAGGGTTTTGAAAAATATGGATTACACTATAAATTACCTTATGAAGAAAATAAAAGAACATCAAGAATCACTGGATGTTACAAATCCACGAGATTTTGTTGATTATTACTTAATTAAAAGAAGTCAGGTAAAGTGTTAATATAAATTAATTTATTGCATTATTTGAGTACTTGATAGTTTATTAAATGATTACATGTTTATCAGGTATATTTAAATGGACTGACCAGAAACATTTGTAGAAATTTAAGTATTTTTTGTGTGAGAAAATGTAATATTGATGCTGAAGAACATAAACCGAATTTATAACTAGAGCCTTCTTCTTGAACTTATTTTTTAAAAGAAGTTCTCTCTCTTCAGAGGACAGGTAAGATGGAAACAATTTCCAAACAGGTCATAAATTAGAGCCTATCATGTTCTATTATAAAGACTGACATCACCATTGCACACCTTGTGTGGCAGAATGGAAAAGAAAATTGGTACAGGAGGAATCCTTGTATGTCCTCTAGATTCAAATTGACCTGGACATATTGTTAGCAATTGGTGAGGAAGGAAATTTTAGACATTTTTAGTAATACTTTCAGAATTTCACACAGTATATTTTGATCACGTTCACCTCATTCCTCTCTTTCACAGCTCCTAGATCCAAACCTACATACCTCCCCTCCCCAAAATTCATGTTCCCCCATTTTAAGTACACCTTTACTTCCCATTATTCTGCCCATATATTCCTGGGTGTGGGGAAAACCACCAGAGCATGGTCAACCTACCAGGATCCGCACTTGAAAGAAAATGGACTTTCCATCCCCCAGAAACTGTCAGCTCTCCATAGCTCTGCAGTTGGTGGTGGGGGCTCATGAAACACTTCCCCCTTCATGATACAATGTGGACTGGCTGGATCTTTGAAGGTCTTGGGCAGGCAACTACAGTGTCTGAGTTTATGTCAGCAGTGGTCTTGTCATGTCTATTCTAGGCCTTTCGAATCCATATAAATTTTAGAATGTGCCTATCTGATTCTGCAAAGATGCCAATGTGGAACTATACAGGTTGGCTTTAATCTAAATCATTTCAGGGAGTGGTACCACTTCAAAATCAAGATGAAATTCATATAAAATGACAGTAACCATATTATATGTGTAATGTGGTGACAGCATTCACAAAACACTGCAGCTATCAGCTCTCTCTAGTATGAAAACATTCCATTGCTCTACAGAAACATTACATAGCCATTAGACAGTCACTCACCTTTCCTGATCCCATCTTTTGTAACTATTAATTTTGTAACTATAACTCTGTCAATATATATTTGCAATTTTGAAGGGATAATCTAAACTGACTCAGTATATGCCATCTTCACTTTCTGTGCTTTGGACTTATATAAAGTTCGATGTTAACCTAAGTTGTATTTTCTCATTTTGTTGCAGCAAAGTTCATTTTACATGCATGAGTCCCACAATTCACTTATTCTCATTGTTGGATATGCTGTTTCTGCCTCTGACTCTTCTATATACTTGTGTACATTTTTTTTTCATGGCATGTTTTCATTTTCTATGTGTATATTATCCAGACAGGAGTTTCTGATTCAACTGGTCATATTATGTTCAACTTTGTGAAAACAGCTAACTCTTCAACAGTTAACACATAATTTTATATCTACAATTTCCCTTGTTTTTAAAATAGCTATGTAATTGTGCAATGTACATTTATTAACCGCAACCCAGTGAGTATGAAGCAGTATGTCAGGGCAGGTTTGATTGCATCTCATTAATTCACAATGGTCATGAACACCTTCTCATGTGCTGATTCACATTTGTGTTTCCTTTACAGGAATTTTTGTTCATGTTTATCTGATTTTTAAATTTATTTGCTTGCCACTTTTGTCGTGGATATATAAAAATTTTTATGTATCTAATCATATAATGTCCATATAAATGACATGAACATATTTTCAGCATTCTGTAGGCTATTTTCACATTTTTAACTATGTCTTTGAGTGTACAAACGTTACTTTTTGATGAAGTCTGGTTTACTTATTTGCATGCTTTGGGCTCAAATCTGTGTGTCCAAATAATAAGGAATGGAGGCTTTCCCCTATTTAAGCCTTCCAAGTCTTCCTTTTCTTGTGGCTAGCCTATTCTTCCATCATTACTTGCCAAAGGAGCTTCTGTTTATTGCATGTTGTAAAAGTCTTGGTTATTGATGTTTAGGTAGCCTTCTGGACATCAAAGCTCTTTGCGGTTTGAGGATGATCTATGTGCCAGCAACATTCTGTTTTCAATACTGTGGTTCTCTAATAAATTTTGAAGTTTGGGAGTTTGCTCCTTTCTCTACTGTTCCACTTGAATCAGAGGATTTGTTTCCCATTAGAAATTTAAGTGAGATGGAACTGATTCATTAAATTACTTGAGGAATATTATTGCCACCTTGTCAGTATGATGTCTTCTAATCCTTGGGCATGAGGTGGTTTTCCATTCCTTAGGCATTCTTCATTTATTATCACAAGGAATAGTTTTAACTATGAACATCTTTCACATATTTGGTTATACAGCAAGATTTTTACCATTTGCTAAATGTTGCAAATGTGATTGTTTGTTTTCACTTCAGAATATTGCTTTCTGCTGAACAGTGTCATAATTGAATTTCATTTTTGCTATGAAGTTGTACTGTCATCATTGATTATCATTGGTTCATCTTTCCTCTTGATGGCATGTTTTTTTCTATATATTGCATAATTTTTTCTTCATATAAATGCCATCTTATTTTGTCCTCTTATTTTGGATTTCTTTATTTCTTTTATCTAAATATTCAGGTCAATAATTCTAGTATTGTGGCAAATAGATCAATACTGTATGTGCTTAGGTTTTATTTTTTCCTTAAAAGGGAGTTGAGTACTCTGACACTAGAATCACAGACAACTTTTCTCAGCCAATCACGGTTGCTAGGAACTGAATTTTTGTCCCGAGGGAGAACAACAAGGTCTCTTAAGTGCTGTGCCATTGCTTCAGGTGGGCACAGATGCTGCGATGAGAGAAATGACCAAGATATGTTTTAATTTGTGCATTTTTGAACCTAAAAATCATTCATTTTCTATGCATTTATGTATAGAAGATCACAATACAACTTAGGAAATCAAAAACTTTGAGTGTGAAAAAATTAAATTTAGACGACCTTAGTTTCTCCTATTGTTGCCAACACAGAGCCCAAAAATATTTTTGGTATATTCATATAGTATATTCATTGTAGCCTGATGTGTTCATAATAATTTATCAGATATATGAATCTAATTATTCTTAGGAAAACCACACTCAATCTTCAGAATTTACACTTGAAAACTTGGCCATCACTGTGAATGATTTATTTGTTGCTGGGACAGAAACAACAAGCACAACCCTGAGATACGCTCTCCTGCTCCTGCTGAAGTACCCACATGTCACAGGTGAGGACAGATAGTGAGCTAGAACATTGCTTAAAGATACTTGGAAAATGCCGTTAGTGTCCTATATCGTGTTATTTTTTAAAGGCCTCTCAGTATTTTACCTTCTGTGCCACTAGCTGTGATGAGGAGGATGAGTGCAACAGAGGAAGACATAATGGCTATAGGAAAATCAACCAAATCCTAGTCCAGTGCCAGGTTCCTGGATGGTGATTTTTGGTTGGCACAGTCAGTATACACTGTCTTGTTATTAAATATTAATTTACTCTCAAAAGGCAGTTTTTAGCAGCAGGTAAGTTCTTGCATCGCCTTTCATCATTCTGATAAATATAATTCTGCGACTGAGAAAGAAAACTCACCTTACTGAATCACTAGAAGAAACATTAGATTTTACTGAATCTGTCTGAGATAATTTGGACTCTAAGAAGTATTCTAAATATTTATGTTCTTTAGAACAGTATTTTTATTGACAAAGAAAGTATAGATAAAGAATTATATTATTTCAAAGTCTATTTACATAAAACTTTAAAAACCTCATTATTTTATTTTCTTATGTGTACAAGTATATTCCCTGCAAGTTTGTAAGTGGACCTGTGTTGTGCAATACTCACAGGTGTGAGAATGTGTCAGATTCCCATGGAATTGGAGTTAGGATGGTTGTTAGTTGCCATGTGGATGCTAGGAATTGAAACCCGGTCCTCTGTAAGAGCAGCCAGTGTTTTTAACCACTATGGTATCTCTCTAGCCCTAAAACATCTTTTGAACAATGATTTTTCACTTGGAAATTGGATATTCTTTGGCAAATAAAATTATTTTAGAAATTAACTTTAATATATATATAATTGTTCAACATATATAAACACACCTTCTGTCCTCTGCTTAATATACACTAAATAACAATAGCATACATATGAATCAAAATGAGTATGTTTAGTATAGGCAAAAAAATACTCAACAGAAAACAGCCAAAAAGAGTTTATCAAATTTCTCAAACATAATAGCATAATGAAGTGTGAAAAAAATGCGGTTGGGAAGATGTTGCAAACTTAATGATAGATTAATATTCCTGCATTAAGTAAACCAGGCTGTGAACCTACAGTCCCCATAAAGAGTGCTGTTTGGTGATAAGAGGAGTCTAAACAAAGAACAAAGTTGTAAACAGGATGATGCTTTTATTGGAATTATCTATCCACTACACCAATATATCAGGTAACTGAGTTTCCCCCTTAGGGAAACACAGAGTTTCTCTCAATGGAAACCCAGTCTAAGAAGCCCAGTCCTGGGCACCTTGAGTGGTGACAGAGAATGAGAAATCAATGCATGGGTATGAAAGGGAAGGAGTGGCTGTGTTCATTCCCTGAAGTGAGAGTCTCAGAGCCTCTTTCTCCATCTTGTTTTTGAACATTACCACCTAGATTTATCTCACAGATAGTGAAGCTTTGTAAAGATCTCTGTGTGTTACCATCTTAATCAAAAAGTCTCTCAAAGTGTCTGTCAGGATAAATGGAATAACATCAACCCAAGGAACAGAGTCATGGAATTTGAGAATATAGGGATTGAGCTGAAGCATAAAACCCTTCAGAGAAATCCCTGAGTAACATATAAGATATTCATATCAAGATCTCACCACAATTCTCAAGAGCACCTGCTTTATTCATGCACAGAACAATTATAGTGATAGACCTCCATGTCTGCCATAGATTTACCACCTATTTTCTATTTCTTCATGAAATATGTGAGAATGTTTTCTATCCAGTTGTCTGAAGCACAGTCATAGGAAATCACATTTTCCAGGAATCTGTGTATCCAATAAGGGAGGGTGAGGAATGAGTGCACTCTCAATTCTGTATTTACCAGGTGGATGCTGCGGTTTTGAACAAAAAATGAAGTATGGATGCTGTGATCTGTAGTCTGATGCTCTTATTAACTGACTATTTGTCCTCAGGATCTTGAAGCATCTAGTAGACTATATAGAAGAATTCTAACCTAAGAAATGGAAAATTGAAAACTGAAATAAAAATGCAATGCATCCAACAAAGAGTCCAAATACTGGGAAATAATCATAACATAATTTTCATGATAGGGAATAATATTTATGTAGTTACAATGATTAACACAATAAATATTGATATAATCAAGCAATGTAATACCACATGCTATTGTTAATGAATGACAGGAAGAGTGTGTGTGTGTGTGTGTGTGTGTGTGTGTGTGTTGTGTTTGGTATTTTTGTATATGTCAAAATTGTATAGATGTAATGTACTGAAACTGAAATGTTCATCTCCCATACCAGAAATTCAATAAATGCAGCATATAAATGTGCATCTAAGTAGTAGTCACTATTTACAAATATGAATATAGTTCAGAAGTAGCTTTTAATGTTGTATTCAATGGATTGTTATTTCAAACTGCAAACACGCAATGCACATACTTGCACATATGTATATGCATTAGAATTTAATGAAAAAATAATTGTATTTGGTTAAAAATTCAACATGTTTTATCATGTCTGTTATCAAAGACTATAATATGTTGGTTATATTGTTTCTTATTGGAACTACTGAATTATGTCTAATTTTATCCACTATTATGGCTGATAAATAGTAAGCCTATGCTGATATAGCACAATAAATGTTTTGTCAGATAATGGTATAAATTCTTATCCTATCAGTTCTGTATATCTGGGTTTACACCTAGACATAAAATATTTATTTATAGCACTCTGGGGGCATCTTCATCATGCCATGTTGCCCTGAATTATTGTGTCAAATGTGCACTTTTCTACTTTTCTACCATTTTTCATTGTTTCTAACCAGCTAAAGTGCAGGAAGAGATTGATCAAGTGATTGGCAGACACCGGAGGCCCTGCATGCAGGACAGAAGCAGCATGCCCTACACAGATGCCATGGTGCATGAAGTCCAGAGATACATTGACCTCATTCCCACCAACCTGCCACATGAAGTAACTTCTGACGTTAAATTCAGGAACTACCTCATTCCCAAGGTAAGCTTGTGTCTTCTCTGTTGCACCTCTGTGCTCTTAATGCTCCCATATCACAGTGAAGTTACTAATACTCGAGGAGTGGAAGTCAAATCTAAAACGCAAATATCTTAGTTTTGGGTACATAATGATGTTTAAGCTATTTCACATTTGGAAATACAGCTTGAATATGAATCTTCCAAATTTGTTCTTCTTCTAAATATTGTTTTTCCAAAGGTTAGGTATTGATAGTTCCAGGTGAATGTGTTAACAAATAATTTCATGAAATAGACTTTCTTTCTGGAATTTTTATCATAGTGAGAGAAAAATCCACAAATAATTAGTTCATTTCCTGAATTTTTGATACCTCATTAATATTTAATTTTAATTTATTTGTGCATTAAAGTTTTCTTTGTAACATTTCTTTGCATTATCTAACTTGTGACTATTCTCCTGAATAATCAATATTCTTTTTTATCTCTTCTATTTTTAAATATTTTTGTGACCATCACATGAATGTAGTCTTTGCACCATTTCCATCCCATACAGTCCTCCTCCAAATACACCCAGTCTTCCCCCAATCCAAAATTTCCTGTACCTTTTCTTGATTATTATTGTTTTGTACACACACACACACACACACACACACACACACACACACACATCCATGGGTTAAAATGAAATTTTAAACTACTTCTAATTTGCATTTCCCTAATTATTAAGGATGTTGTACACTTCTTACACTATCAGTTACTCATTTATATTTCTTTTTTTGAGAACCTTCTGTTCACATCTGTAGTCTATTTTTAATGGGGTGATTTGTTTTATTGATTATGTATATTCTGGATATTAACCCTCTGTTAGATGCATAGCTGGTAAAGACTTTCTCCTTCTCTGTAGGCTTCCTTTTCGCTAAATTGACTATTTTCTGGGCTGTACATGAGGTTTTAGATCAATGACATCCCATCTGTTAATTGTTGACGTCACTTTCTAAGTAAATGAAGGATGATTTAGAAAGTCCTTTCTTACTCCTGTATCTTTCAGGGCACTGCCTATGTTTCCTTCTAACAGTTTCAGCATTGCAGGTTTCACATTGAGGTTCTTGAACAATTTGAATTGACTTTGGTGCAGGGTGATAGATATAGTTCTAATTTCATTCTTCTAGACATGGAGATCCAGTTTTACCACCACTGTTTGTTGATGTCGCCTTTCCTTCAGTGTTCTTGACAACTTTGTCAAATATCAGGTGACTGAAATTGTGTACACTCATGGTTAGGTCTTCTATTTTGTTCCATTAATCCACATCTTTTTTAAAATCCTTAACTTTTTGTGATTTTTTTCTTTTTGTTTTTTGAGACAGAGTCTCCCTGTAGCCCCCAGTTGTCCTGGAACTCACTATGTAGACCAGGGTAGCTTTGAACTCGCAGAGATCCACCTTCCTCTGCCTCCCGAGAGCTGGGGTTAAAGGCATGCACCACCACGCCCAGCCTAAAAATCCTTTAAAAAATTATTGAGCTTCTGTACTTTTCATACAACAGTTCTTTATGAAATTAAATCAATACCACCCACCCAACTGGACCTCGTGTATTCTGCCATATATGTTAAGTCCCATGTAGTCAAGCATTTGTACCAGATGTCCTTCAAGGCAAATTCATTCACTGGATTCTAGTTATTCTATCTAGAGAGCTTAAGTAAAGTCTACTGTCGCTCACCCAGTAGCAATAAGTTTCCACCACTTCTCAGATGAGGTGCAGCCCACAGACCATTTTTCTTATTCCACTCTGAGTTCTTGTCTGAGTTGGCATAGGTCCTATACTTGATGCCACCATTGCTGTAATTTCACATGTGCAAGCTTCCAGTGGTCTGAAAAACCTCTGCTTCCCTAGGTTCATGAAACAACCCTGGCTCTTACAATCTTTCCACCTCCTCTTCCACAATAGTCCCTGAGCTGTGAGTGGTTGAGATTTAATATAGGAATCCTATCCAGGAACACACAGATTCTGCAGTCTCTTATTCTTCAAAGCTTGACCAGTTCTGACCTTCTGTAAGCAGTACATTTTGTTGTTTAAGGAGGATTCACTGATGAGAGTTGAGTGACTTACTAATTTTCTATTTATTCCATATTCCAGTATGTTCCATGAATCAGGTATACAGGTTCAATTGTAGATACGTCACCTACGACTGGTCATCCTTCAGACATAGTCTCTGTGTGTGACCAGTTGTAGGATTCTGCACTAGCCTCCATCTATTGCAAAAAGAAGCTTGTTTGGTAAGTGGTGTATGGCACACTTGTGTGTAAATATAGGGATCCAAACTTAGCTTATGGCAAGAAATTTCATTTGTCTAGAGATTTGACAGATATAGGATTATCTATAGGATCTATGACCTCTCCAGCCGTGTGTATTTGGCTATGTTTATACTGCCACCAGTGATTTTCTCCCATTGGGAGAGCTTTAAGTCCAATGTCTTTTTTATGGTAATACAATGCTGGTTTATGAACATAACTCTTTAGTAAAGCTTGAAATCTGCTATAGTCATCCCTCTAGCATTACTCTTTGTGCCCAGGATTGCTTTGCCTATCATGGGTCTTTTGTGTTTCCCCATGACTTTTAGGATTTTTTTTTCTATTTCAGTGAAAAATTCATGGATATTTTGAATGAGATTGCATTGAGTCTATAAATTTGCATTTGGCAAAATGTTCATTTTCACAATAAAATTCTGCCCACTGCTAAACATGGGGTAGGGGTTTCATTGCCTAGTGTCTTTTTCAATCTCTTCAAAGATTTAAAGTTTTCATTGAAGAGATCTTTAACATATTTGGTTAGGTTTTTTTCCCAAGATATTTTTGTTTCATTTTTTTTCTTGCTCTTGTGAATGGAAGCACATTCCACATTCATTTCTCTGACTGCTTGTTATTTGCACTTAGAAAGGCTATAAACTTTTAAAAATTGATTTTGCATCCTGCCACTTTCCTGAAGTTTTTATCATTTCTAGAGTATTGTGGTGGAATTTTGGGGATCTCTTATATATAATATCACATCATCTGCAAATAGGGACAATTTTACCTCTTCTTTTCCAATTAATAGCCCATCAATTTCTGACTCTTGTCTTGTTGCTCTAGCTACAGTATCAAGATGTATATTTAAAAGAGAATGGGAATAGTGTACAGCCTTGTTGAGTTCCTGATTTTATGGGACTGCTTCAAGTTTTCTTCATTTAGAGTGTTGGCTATAGGTTTATTGAACACAGCCTTAATTATGTTGAGGCATGTTTCCTCCAATCCAGTTCTCCCTTGGACTTTTAGCATAAATTCATGTTGGGTTTTTTTAAAGACCTTTTCTCCTTCGATTGAGATGGTCATAGGTTTTCTGTTGTTAAGTCAATTTACATGATTTATTACATTAATTGACATATGTACATTGAATATCCCATATCTTGATCATGGTGGATGATCTTTTTGATATGCATCTCTAAGCAATTTGCACATATTTTTTGAGATATTTTGCATCCACATTCATGTGGATATGGGCCTATAGTTTTCTTTTTTTGTTGTATAATTACCGGGTTTTGGTATTATCGTAATACTGGCTTCATAGGAAATTTGGAGTCTCTCCCTCTGCTTCTATCGTTTTGAAGAGTTAAGCATTATCGATTATAAATCTTTGAAGGTCTGGTAAAATTCTACTGTGAACACATCTGATTCTGGGCTCTTTTTGCTTGGAGATTTTTTGTTAATCTTTCAAAATCCTTATTTTTATGGGTCTGTTTAAGTTGTTAGTGTATTCTTGGTGTGACTTGGGTGGTTTGACTGCACCTAGATATTCATTGATATTTTATATTTTGTAATTCAATGGGCTATGGGTTTTTAAGGAATTCCCTTATAATAGTTCTCATTTGTTTGGTATCTGTTGTGATGTGTCCCCTTTCCTCTCAGATATTGTTTTTGTGGATTTGTTCTTTTTTTTCTTTTGTTTATCTGACTGAAGTGTCTGTCTGATTGACTATAGGAGATAATTTCATTATTTTGTATTTTTGAGGTTTGTTTATTGCTCTAGTATGTGGTCTATATTAGATAAATTTCCTTGGATTGCTAAGTAATCATAGCTGGGAATGTGAGTGTGGAGATAACAGTGGGGTGAACTAGTTCTAGCTAGCTTTCCAGGCTACTCCATAGCTGGAGTAGAGCTTCAGAAGCCTAGTCAGGAGTTCTCCAGCAGCATGTTCCCAGCCTAGTACCAGAGGCAGAAGACAGAATTTGCCTGTATCTGACTAGATAAGCAGGATGGTCCCATGCCCAGGAGCAGTTGGTTTGGGGCCTAATCCCAAATAGGAAATGTGGTGATGGCATATGTGGTCTCTAACTAGTGAGACAGGTTAAATAGGAGCATAGGAACAGCATCAGCTGGAACACTGAATATTCTTTTAAATTTATTTTTCAAATGCTCTGCCTTTCTTTTTACCTGGTATTTGAAAATAATTCTTTTAATTTTTCTGCTGATATTATTGTAAGTACTGTACAAATTTTATTGATTATTCCTAAAGTTTTCTCTATCCATGTGTATGGAATTTCAATGTTATCTGGGCTGACATTTTTATATATACCCTCAAACCTTGTGTTCTTAATTTTATGCCCACCCCCTCCCCTCTAACATTCCACCCTCTGATGAGGTAACCCTAAAATATTTTAAGGATTAGATACAAGCTCCCAAATACTTTTGAAAATTTTGGCCTTTGGACCAGAGTATGTTGCTAACAGGCCCAAAGACATTTTCACTATTAGCTAAGAAACTGGCTACAGTTCTTTGGGGTATTTTTACTCTAACTGCCTAGCCAGTTCCTACCTCTTATTCTTATCATGCCATCCTCTGAAGGGGTTACCCAAATTGCCAATAGGGAATAGGGACGCAGATAGCTCTGGCTTCTTTCATGCAGAACAGGGACACAGGGTGAGGCAATTGGAGTACCCATTCAGGGGGTCTATCTAAAAGAGTCCCAAATTTCATAACTCTTGTCTCTAAAGGGAAAAGAAAGTCCTTGAAATATGAATAGGAGATGTGAATGAGAAGTAAAGCCAAGAGTAATTAGCATTAAAAGTTCTAGACAGGGAATAAGAAAAAATCTGAACAGGGCAATTTTCAAATGTTCATAAGAGAGTCCATTGGAGTTTCTCGACAAGGACTTCCAAAAGTATCCCTCTATTGGGTTCTTCCTCATTTTTCTTTTGTCCTCTAAGGCTGGACTAGTTGACTGGGAAGAGTGGCTGAATACTCAGGTGAGGGTCCATTGACCCTGCGTGGCACTCCTTTAATGAATGAGCACAAATGTCAACAAGCCCAATTGTGACTATGTTTAGTGATCAGACTCAGCCGAAGTTGTGATGATGGTAGTTATTTCATGAAGAAGGAACTGTTGTATAGCATTATCTTAGTAAAAGGACCTGGAATTTAAAAGGATTTGGTGCTGGGAGCCACATATGATGGAGAACATACGTCGTTTGTTTTTCTGAGTCTGTGTTACTTCACTTAGTATAACAGTTTTGGGATCCATCCATTTACCTGGAAATTTCATTATTTCATCTTTCTTTACTGCTGAATAGAACCCCATTGTGTAACTATACCACATTTTGTTAACCACTCGTCAGTTGAGGGACACTTAGGTTGCTTCCATATCTTAGCTATTGTGAAAAGAGCAGGAATAAACATTGTATAAGTATCTCTGCAATAGGATGGATCCTTTGGATATAGGCCAAGGAGTGGCGTAACTGGGTCGTATGGTGTTTATTTTTAGATTTTTTTTTCTTTTTGGTTTTTTTTTTTTTTTTGAGACAAGGTCTTCCTGTAGCCCCAGCTGGCCTGGAACTCACTATGTAGACTAGGATGGCCTCATCTCACAGAGATCTGCCTGCCTCTGCTTCCCGAGTGCTGGGATTAAATGTGTGCGCTATTACACCCAGCTATTTTTTCATCTTTATTTCTTCCTTTGAGAACTCTCTGTTTAGATCTTTAGCCTATTTATCATTTGAGTCATTTGGTTTCTCGATTGTTTTTTGTGTTCATTATATATTCTGGATGTTAAACCTCTATCAGATGTGTTGCTAGTGAAGAGTTTTTTCCCATTCCATGGGTTTTCTCTTCACTTTTTTGATTGTTTCTTTTTCTGTACAGAAGCTTTTTAGTTTAATGAGGACCCACTTATTGATTGCTGACCTTAATTCCTGAGCAAGTTCCGTCCAATTTAGAAAATCCTTTCCTATATCCTGTAAGTTAGTGCCAATATTTTCTTCTAATAGTTTCAGGGTTTCCAGTTTCATATTGAGGTCTTTGATCCATTTGGAGTTGACTTTTGTGCAATGTGAAATATAAGGATCTAGTTTCATTCTTCTGTAGGTGGAGATCCAGTTTAGCCAGCACCATTTGTTGAAGATGCTGTGTTTCCTCCATTGTATGTTCTTGGCAACTTTCTCAAATATCAGGGGGCTGAAATTGCATGTACTTGGGTTTGGGTTGTCAATGATGTTCCA